GTCCCTCCCAGGTGTGACATCATGCCAGGTGGCATGGGGCTAAGAGTGTGGAATTTTGGAAGTTCATGAAAGCTTCTGAACTGGGTTGAGAAGCAATGCCCTTCCGTAAGAGCAGGCACATATGAATTTTACATTATTATCCTTCGCATGTGTTGCATTGTCCTTATTGACATTTCTGTATTCTTGTTCCGGCTTTGTGTTTTGTCAGATTCTTGTATTTCCATCAATTAGAGAATCCGAAACATACTAGAGCTTAGTTTTATTCCACACAGATCATTGATCAATTCCCTTTACCCACTTGTCCTAGCATTGCAGGAACCTATGGGAATAGCATGCACCTTCATAGCCCCAGTTAACATAAACATGTTTCTGGATAGTAGAGGAAGCAGAGAACCTGTGGAAACCCAATGATGGCAGAGAGAACATGCAAACTCCACACATGAATAGACAGGGCAGAGACTCAGACCCTGGTCCCACTGATGTGAGGCAACAGTGCTAACCACTGTGCCCCCATGCCCCACCTCTTACTCCTCTAACTAAAAATACATGACCACATCCTGTACTGGTCTCTGTGCTTGAGCTTCCTTTGAAAATACTTTTAATTCCTTTAAAAATAATTGTGAATAAAACCTGTTAGTGTAATTGTATTATATGCATGTTATTCTGTATCCATATTTTATTGATATCCATATGTTAACTTATTAAAGCTGTATTTCTCAAATTTTTATTGGTTACAAACAGTCATTCAGAGTACGACATGCAGTGAAATGTATTTGCAGTGCCCGATCTACCAAGAATTAGTACAGAAAATAATAATAAAATAAAAGAAGAATGAAATGTCTTAAGATAAAAATGTAAAGATATCAAATATATAAAGATATAAAATATAAACTGTAATAATAATAGAATAAAGATAAAATATAGAATATAAAGAGAGTTAAGAATAAAAAAATAGAAATTAAAAGATGTACAAATAGAATATGTAGCAGCCCTTGGATCCCAAAGAGAGTCTCGACAGATGCTTAAGTTTTCTTTTATTTGAAGTTCATAGCAGCATCAACTTTATCTGTTTCGTCTGATACCTTATAGCATCATGAAACCTATATCAAGACATACAAACAATAAACATTTAACAATCTAGTTCCCACAGATACAAACTATTTATGTAAATAAATAGTAAAACACAAACATTCATATACATAATCATGCATCTCATACATATATAGATACGAATTACAAATCATGACTAAATAAACATACCTCGCTGCGCTCACCAAGGAATGCAAAACGTATGATACGATAATCCTTTCTTCTGTCAGTAAAATATACGTTAATGTTTACTTTAGTTATGTAAATGAAGTACAAAAACTTGGAGATAAAACCCAGTCCTAGGTGGTGTTCTGGTTCAGAACCCAAACAGCCTGAGGGAAGAAGCTCGAAAGGAGCTGCAAAATTACAGCTTCTCGCCCGAAAACCCAAACAACCCCATTCTATCTGCTTTTGGCTCCCCCCTAATCAGCACGGGCCTTGGCCAAGGCCTCTGCTGAGCTCAACAACTCCCCCTGAAGAACAAGGCAGTGAGACTCTCTTGCATTCCTCTCCCCCAATCCCAAGGACACCCTCCCCCCATCCCAAGCCTTCGCTGCTTCATACTCTCAGCGTGAACAGGCGGGTCTGTGATCGGCGCTGGATTTTGCTGCAGGACCGGATGGCTGTCTGTCTATGCTGGGCTACCTCCACCTCCCTATTCCCCTCCCCTGTTGCAAGTCATGACTTTTTATGTTGTAAGGTGTAGTGACCATGTGCTTATGTTGCTGAGGTGTTTTTTTCTGTTCCTACAATGTCCTCCCTACTGGAGTACAGTCTGGGGGCTGTTTTTTTATTCTCCTCCTCTCTCATGTAATTCTGTTTCTCTCTGTTCTTTCTATATCCCCTGTCTTCCTGACCTGTCTACCCCCCTGTAATGTTTGTATATGTACTGTATGGTCGGGTTGATCAGGATACAATTCATTTCACTGCATGTTGTACCTGTACAGCTATGCATGTGACAAACAAAGCAACCTTGAATCTTGAATCATAACAGCTATGGATCAGATTATTTAATTTCAACACTGGAACCAGAATCAAAATCGGAATTGGCTTTATCGAATTATGTGTGTGTTCCCAAATTCATGGATTTTGTCTTTGTGTATTTGGTCCTCTTCAGAATTAAAAACACAACTGTGGCGTTTTCTTTCTGGTGAAATTGGGAGTACATACTTTGTATGTACATATTGTTTTGGTAATTACGATGTTTTCATCCCATTGGAATGTGCTTAAGATCAGTGGTCACCAGGAATTCGAAGGACTCAATCATCCTGACTACTGCATCATTGGTTTCTAATGGCTATAGTGTAGGGCAGAGCATGTGAGCGGAGCGGAGCGGAGCGTGAGCGAGGAGCGGAGCGGGCGGAATTTGG